CATTGTAATCGAAAACAATTTCTCCTCGGTACCATAAATATTAAAATATATAGATTAAATGAATATAATCCTATATACTGCAGTATATGTATATATATATATATATATATATATATATATATACATATAAGTTAAATTTCATCCAATTTTAAATGTTTAAACTTTAGAATTCAAATTTAGCTATAGTAATTAAGTAATTAAAATTTAAGAAAATGAGCGCATGATATTATTTATATTATAGCAATAATAGTCCTCCTACTAATTCATAAATTTTCTAATACTCCAGACACGACAAAATTATTCTTCTGCATGATAATGCTCGCCCACATGTTGCGGCGCCGGTCAAAACCTACTTGGAAACACTCAATTGGGAAGTTTTACCCCACCCGCCGTATTCACCAGACATTGCTCCTTCTGATTAATACTTGTTTTGATCGATGATGCATGGCCTGTCTGAGCAGCACTTCACATCATATGAAGATACCAAAAATTGGGTCGATTCGTGGATAGCTTCAAAAGATGAAGCGTTCTTCCGACGCGGTATCCGTGTGCTCCCTGATAAAAAAATATGATAGAAAACGATTAAAATTGATAGGATTTCTATGTGAATGTATCGTTCTCTAACAGGTCTATCGGTCATCACAAATGTGTAATAATACAAATCGTAGCGTATTTAATCGGTTTTAATCGAATCTGTTTTCTATCCGAATAACACGGTAGATATTTTATCGATTTCAATCCTATCTGTTGTACGGTATTTAATTCGAAATTAATATATCGATATGTATAGTTTCTTATAGATTATTTCAAAGACAGACTTTGTCGTGCATATACTATTGTATTATATTGAAAATGAATAGTTTTCAATCGAAAATTCCTGAGTACAGTAGTTTATCAGTAAATAATTGAAGATGCTCTACTCGTCTTTATCATTATTTTCTCATTTGAAGATCCTATGAAAATCCATACGGAGAACACGATAGGAAAAGCGGAAAGAGAATAATGGAAAGAATAAGCCCTTTCTACAAAGTATCATTAGCTCAACGTTAGCCTATAAGTCTGTAGTTCTAGGGATCTTAGGTTCGAATCTCAATGTTTTCAAAAATTATAAACCTGCGTGTATAAATTGTAATTAATTAATAATTAATAAAATAAAAAATATATATGTAAAATAGTAAACACAAATTAATAAACTCTAAAAATAATAATAAGTAATAATAGAATAAAAAAAATAAATTTTTTTTCAGTAATTTTTATATGCGATATTTCACATACAACCTCATTAAAAACGTATCTATTAATGCAGATCATAATCAATATACCGTCTATCATCAATACCCTATATCCAATTGGGAAACCCGGATTAAGAAACTTGATTCAAAACGATACGATTTTTTAAATCGGTTTCTATTGTCTTTTTACCAGGGACAGTTTGTATGCGATATTTCACATACAACCTCATTGAAAATGTCAATTTTTTAAATCGTTTTCTATCGTTTTTTTTTTACCAGGGCTGCCAGAAAGATGGGAAAAAGTAGTGGCTAGCGATGGACAATACTTTGAATAAAACATTAGGTACCGTTCTTTCACAATAAATGCCAAATTTTTGATAAAACCGGCGGAGACTTATTTGTACTCTTAATACATGCACAACAGGGGGTAAGAAATCGCTCCACCCTAATATACATATACGAAAGAGGCCCTCATGCTTGTATACAAATCTACCCTAAATTCAAAAGAAAATAATTATGCTATTTTTTATAGAATTCACTAACAATACGATAAAATTAATGAGTAAAGTAATAATAAATTGAAAATAATTTTAAGACATTTTACTTACTAAAAAATATTGTTTTTGTTTAAAACCTTAATTAAAACAATATCTTAAATTACTTGTCAAATACTTTGGAAAATTTACTCAGACAGCGCTAAAACACGTAATATCCTGCTCTGTTAGTTTACGTATAATTTGCGATTTGTAACTAAATAAAATAGTATGTATAATTATTAAGACAAAGAGAAAAATTAAAATATTGATTCTACACATAATATTTAATTACTCTCCAAAATTGAATCAGCGGAATTACATTGATTTTCACTGTACTTACAACTATATGATAAACAGTGGAGTATTTTAATGTTGTTTCAGTGATAATGCTTATATACATATACTTATACTTGTACTTATAATACGTCAACTAATTATTAGAGTAATGTTATTAGAGTACTATTATATATATTGGAGCACATATAATATATCTTTTGAAATTTTTGGGGTTAAAATGATATATTATTTTCCAGACATGGGCATTATCCGTGCCTGATACGGCAATTGCTATATGAGATAAGATCCGGGCTTCCACAAGAT